TTGACAACGAGCTTGAGAATAGGAATCATTCAAGCCCATTAAGAATTGGTACACCTTTTGTTTTCGTAAGTGAACAATAAACTCCTTTGTTTTGGCACAGTCACAGTCAGGAGTGGGTATAACAAACTAAGATTCATCCCAAAAATCCTTTAGCTTTGAGTAATAGACAGAAATAGAGGAAGTACCTTGACTTAGGGTAGAAATTTCCTTGTGCAGATTGTAGCAGCGAGTGTCATTCACTTTGTCAAACTCTCTTGTAGATCCATCCACACCTTCTGTGCATTTTTGGCATAAGCAATACCACTGATTAAAGTTGGTGCAACTGAGTTCATTAGCTATGACAACACAATTGCATTACATCGTTCCCGTTGATACCAATATTTCTCACGGAATCGTTCCTTTGGCCACCTGCCATCAACAATTCCTAGTTTATTACGACCAAGCAAAGCAATTATCATAGATCTGTGCCATAAAGAGTAATTATAAGTGCCAGTTAGCTGAAATGAGATTCCACTTGTATCGCCCGGAGCTAGGTATAGCGGATGAGTGACTGCAACTGTAACTCCTTCTATTCGTCGTCGGAGGATGTATGTCATGCATTTTCAGCTATGATTGTTGCATTTTCATGATCTAAGTTATCAATTTCCATTCTTAATCAATTTGGATCTAGCACCAGAGAGATAAGATCTCAATTTATGAGACTGTAGAAACAGACAGAAACAGAGTAAACGGAGAAGAGAAGGATCGATTTGTGAGCTTCGATTCAATGCTCAAGCTTTGATACCATGCTGAAATGGAGATCGAGTGTGAGAGGATTAAGCCCTAACTGGTTGAGGAAGAGAGAAGAGAGAAGAGAAGAGCATTAGGAAGAATGTAACAGTAGAGAAGAGAAATGAAAGTTCTGGTTTTCATTAGCTGAGTAATCGTATATATATACAAACTACTAATAACCAATCTAACTACTTTGCTAACTACCCACATACAGTGTTAACTAACTAACCACTCAATAATCTTCTATCCTTTAAATAGACTAAACTACCCGTCTCTCACATTACATCATTTATCTCAATAGTTGTAACTGGATGCTGCGTGCGAGCAAGAAGGAAACAGGGTTGTGGAAAGTGGGTAAATATATTAGCACCCACGTTTGTAAAATGGACACATTCAATGAGAATCACTTCAACTTGGATATTGACTTGATTTCTTTTATCTTGATTCCACACTTGGAAGTGTCCATTAGGTACAAGATCAAAGAGTGTATTACATCCGTCCACCAGGAATATGGGTGTACTATTACCTAAAGAAAGGCATATCTCGGGCGCAGACGTGCATTTGCAATTATTTATGGTGACTGGGATAAGTTATTTTCATCTCTACCCAGGTACATGGCCGTACTGAAACACTTTAACCCCGGGACTGTTGTTGAATGGAAGCATGAGCGGAGTCCAGGAATACCGAAATATATATTCAGATACGTGTTCTGGGCATTTAAACCAGCAATTGATGATTTTGTGCATTGCCGTCCGGTAATTTTCATAGACGGTACTCATGTCTATGGAAAGTATGATATTAAGTTGTTGATCGCCGTTGCAGTAGATGCCAATGGACAAATATTTCCACTAGCTTTTGCCATTTATGCCAATGAAAGCGAAGAGACGTGGACGCTATTTTGAACCACTTGAAGCAGCACGTTGTCAAACAATGTTCAGGTATTTATCTAATATCTGATCGGCATGGTGGTATTTTAAGTTCTGTACAGCATTTGCCTGAATGGCAGGAACCCTATGCATACTACAGGAGGCGAGCACATTGGCATTCTTATTTACAGTATGATCACGATCGGGGTGTTTTTGAAGTTCGCACCGCTATCTGTCAACACCGGGGGAATAATCTACACACCGTAAATGAAGCCAGTAAGTTGTGTTCATGTGGGAAATGGACCATCTACCATATGCCGTGCTCACATGCCATGAAGTTCTTTCAACAAATAGGTTTAGGGGCAACCAACTATATTGATAGGCAATACAGTATTGCTGCATAGGTAAACACATATAGTGGGCAGTTGCAGCCATTGGGTGCGGAGCATTATTGGCCGTCGGAACCATTTAAAATGCTGTGTAACAAGGACTATTTGCGGAAGCTACAAGTGCAAAAGAGAACGCGTATACGTAACCAAATGGATGTTGGTGATATCGTTTATGCGCGTAAATATGGCATATGCTCGCAAACAGGACACGACCGTCGTAAATGTCCTTCAGCTGGTTTGGGTGGCGGTGGTAATCCAGCTCCTGGTGCAAGTTCGTCTAATGTACCCAACTATCAAGGATACACCTAGTGTTTTGTTTTTGTAATGTTTTTTATAATAAGTGTCTGCACTTGTTTATGTTGCAAGATGTATCAAATAAAATTATGTTTCCACAGCCTTGTTACATCTTATTGATATTTAACTTTTTTCAGTTGAGTAAATTAATGAATTTCTCCCTCCCGTTCATGTAATCAAAAATAGTATTGGATTAAAAAACGGAAAATTTTAACGTTCACTTTCGAGTTTCACTCTAAAATTATTAGAAAACTACACTGTCAGAGGAGGAAGATGTTTGATAAATAAGTGAACATATATAGCGCGGTTGAATACTACGTTTTGTGTGTTGTCTTGTCAATCTGAAAAGCTGCCCGACTGCGAAAAAGCTGTTTCGTTTCAGAAAGAATATTTAACACGCCATATATGGCGCGGTTAAATACTACATTTTGTGTGAATATATATAACGCGGTGCTACGTTTTGTGTGTTGTTTTGTCGTTCTGAAAAGCTGCCCGACTGCAAAAAAGCTGTTTTGTATCAGAAAGAATCTTTAACACGCCATATATAGCGTGGTTAAATACTACGTTTTGTATGAATATATATAGCGCGGTTAAATACTACATTTTGTGTGTTGTCTTGTCGTTCTGAAAAGCTGCCCAACTGCGAAAAAGCTATTTTGTATCAGAAAGAATCTTTAACACGCCAAGCATAGCGCGGTTAAATACTACGTTTTGCGTGAATATATATAGCGCGGTTGAATACTACGTTTTATGTGTTGTCTTGTCGTTCTGAAAAGCTGCCCGACTGCGAAAAAGCTATTTTGTATCAGAAAGAATCTTTAACACGCCAAGCATAGCGCGGTTAAATACTACGTTTTACGTGAATATATATAACGCGGTTAATTATTACGTTTTGTGTGTTGCCTTGCCTACAAATAACAGGCGCATTCTAGTTATTTTCTGCGCTTAACAATAACCAATAGCAAAACTATCCATAAAAGCAAGGTTTTTTTTATGCTTTAACAAATGTCTGAACGCCTTTATGTACCAAGGTGCGAGTGCGGTAAAAAATGCATGATGAAAGGCTGTTGGGATGATGGTGAAGTTGGACGCCGCTACTGGATGTGTGTGAACAAGTTTTATAGGGTTCCCGACGAACCTGTTTGCAATTTTGAGGTATGGATTGATGAACCCTGTCAGCAGGAATACTATAAAGATTCTTTGCAGTATCTTCATGATTTGACCAAAAAACAGTGGGAATATGAACGAGAATACAAACGAGAAGTTGCGGAGTTGAAGGAGAAACTCAAAGAGGTGGAAGAAGAAAAAAATAAGCTGGAAGAAAAATTTAAGTGGTTGGAGCAGAGAATACTAGGCGGTGGTGACTAAACAATGACATGTATGTGTTAAGTGTAGTAGTATATCTTTATGTTGTTGGTCCATCAGCAACCTACAAAATAATAAGTCAGCTCAGTATATGAAAATATATATTATTAATATACGTGTTAAGTAAAAAAAAATTTCTTATCATGGTCTCGTCGGGCTCCTGAATATAAGCATCCGTGGGGTCCTGCTCAGCATCGCACAAAGTGGCCTCCGTGACGGGCTAGGATGAAGCCTTAATAAGAAAATTATAAAGTTATTTATGGAGAATCAACGAGATAAAAATAAATTAAAATTTAATAGTAATACAAACATACATGCGCCTGTGAAAGATCCACAACACCCGTCGACGATGAACCAAAACTCAGCCGGCGCCCACCATCCACATCTCGGGTCGGCCGATCCTCAGTAGCGGTCGATGGGCCTGAAAAAAACTGCTCCCAATCTCCGAAAATGCTCGTGCCCGTGATCAATAATGGATCTGATGGGGTCACATGCGATGCCGCTAGAGTCAGCGCCAGCTGAAGGCTGTACGACGGCATGCTGCTGGGATGCTCGTCTGGCTGAGGGAGGTAACCCGGCAGATCAGCTCCAACATCCTAATCAGGTGCCTCAACGCCCCCTTGCTGGGGACCACCTCCTCGCCGGCCCCAACGACCCCGTGGGGCACCCCTGCCTCGTGGGACAATCCTGCCTCGAGCCCGTCCCCTCGCGCGTGGGACAGGCCTACCCCGATGGTAGTGCTCTGGCGCCACATAAGCAGGGACGTCCACATAAAAGGAATCCGATTTACTAGTCTTTAAGCAAAAAAATAATTTAAACCAGATAAAATACAACAAATACATTGTAATCACAAAAATACATATAAAATAGTAATAGTAATTTATTAACATTTTTATTAACAAATAATAACGATTTCATAATTTTTACATATTTTTTTACAACATTAATATCTTAGTCCGGATAAAAATAACATACCAATTTAATCGCAAAAAAAAAAAAAAATACAACACAACATACAACACATTCAAAACAACTAATATTTATTATTTATACGAGTTTGGACATAAATTAAATCGGAATATCTCGATTTATATTTTTCGGAAAGTTGAAGATTTGAAAATTTGACTCCGAAACAAGCAACTCACAACAATAGAAGGCTTGGCTAGGATGTGGGACCAACTTTGATTAGTTTTTGTGGGACGGGTAGGGTCCACTCGAGTTTTTTATCGTTTTAATGGTGAGGGGGGGGGGGGGTGGGGGGCCTGTGCTATGGTTTTATAAATGGGGGAGAAGAGTCTGTTCAGAAACGTGGGGGAAAGGGGAGGGGATGGTACTTAAACATGTAAAGCGCGGTTCATTACTGCGTTTTATATACTTGCTGTAAATCGCAATTTGTTACCGCGTTCTATATAAAACGCGGTAAAGAATCGCGTTTTATGTAGAAATGTAACTTTTTCTTTTTACACTTAAAAAAGTATTTTGAGTCCTAAAGAATCACATTTAGGTTCCGAACTCGCCCAAAGGTGTACTTAAATTCTTTATATATAATGGGGATAGGTAGCTTGGTGTGTGTAGCTACAGAGAGACAGTCCGTGCTTTGTCTGCTCATTTCACTATCTAGAGAGAGAGAGAGAGCGCGCGAGAGAGATGGGGAATTGCCAAACTATTGATAATGCAGCTTTGCTCATACAACACCCCAATGGTAAAGTGGAAAAGCATTATTCTGCAGTAACTGCTCGCCAAATTATGAAGATGAATCCGGGCCATTATGTTGCTCTTCTTCTCAGCACCACCACCACTATGTCCCCACCCTCAAACAAAACAACTACCAACAGTAATATTAGCCCGATACGAATTACGCGAATAAAGGTTCTCAAGCCAACTGATACCCTTGTTCTTGGTCATATTTACAGACTAGTTACTGCTCAAGGTTGGTCATTTTCTAGGTTAACTACTCAATTATCTTGGTTGTTGATGTGTTATGTAGTTACACCTTTTTCTTGATTATACACAGAGGTAATGAAAGGATTGTGTGCCAAGAAGTATGCAAAGCAGAAACAGTTTGAATATTCAGAGGACAAAATGACACAGATATTACATTCTAAGGCAGGTGTTAGAACATCTGTTCAGGACAACTCTAAACAGGTAAATATTCATCTTCCAAATTCACAAACTTAATTTCCTTTGTATTTCAAAGAAAGAACATACTTCAAATAATTTACGAGCTGATTAAATTTTCAGGTTAAACATCGAAAGTCTATAGGTGCAAAATCAAGAGCTTGGCATCCCTCATTGCAGAGCATATCTGAGGTTGCAGGCTGATTTGTAATGCTTCAATGTTTGATTAAAGAGAGTCCAATTATTCTCAGGAGCAAAAATGATGCCAGATTATAAGTTCAGGAGATGGAATTGGTGGTTTCTCAAATTCAAGTTAAGAGTAGCTTATGCGGAATTAGTCACATGTATAGCAAAGGAAAAACGATAAATAAGATCTCCTACATTTATTGTTTGGATGCACTTATTCAATTGAAATTACTTATAAGCACCAAATTTTGTTTAATTGAAAAGTTAATAAGATAAATGGATATATCTAATGGAATGGATCATTCAAACAGAGTAATGATTCTCCTACCATGTGCGTTGATCAACCAATATGTTACTTTAAGAGCGAAATAACACCTGCTTTCTCTTTTTTTAATGCTCCTTGAACTAAAATCCGAGATCGTTGAATGAGCATGTCAATTGGCTTGGTGCATGAGGATCAAATTAATCTATAGATTGTTACTTTTCACTTGTACAAATTCTAGTTCTTATTGCTTTACTGTTAGAGTGACGTATCATAACGTTTTCGTTTGGCGAGTTATTAGTGTTTATCCTAAAAATCGAGTAACAATTAAATTTGTAATGTGATTTTAAGGATACGTGATTTCACTTAATACCAATTGATTAGCTTAGAGATAAATGACGGGAATTGACAAGAATGTAAAACAAACCAATGCTTGGACAATGCCCTCGAGAGTAGTGAAGAATGTAAAACAAACCAACAATGTACTTTTTTTTCTTTCTTCTTGTTTAGATGCAATAATTATTTATTCTAACGGTATATTTATTTTTTTTATGGCCAAATAAATAAAAATAACTTGATTAGAATATCATTATCTTTAGCTAAATAAAAAAAATTATAGTCATAATAAGATTGTTCCAAATTTTTTTCTACAGATTTAACCCGAAAAAAATAATTTAAATAATTGATGGACTTAAAAAGGTAAAAATATATATATTTTATTCTAAGAAAATATTACATAAAATAAAATTCATGTGGTAGTGCATGTGTCACACTTTCATGGGTTATCAGCGTTCAGGGGGGGTCGTGGCTATCAAATTGCAAAGTTGAGGGGGGTAAATATGCCAACGTAAAGTTTAAATGAGTATAGAATAGAAGTCGCCAAATTAGGAGGGATCCCGATGTTTTCTATCATTTAGAATCCGATAACTTAAGAGGATTAATATTATAATCCGGGTTCAAATTGTGGCTAACATCTGTGACTAAACAAAAGAGCAAATGAAAAGAAAAAATATGATTTGAGAGTGGTGAAAGAACAGGTGAAAGGCTAAAAAGGAAGGACAAAAAGGAAAGAAAGGAGACAGCTGCAGGGCAAAAGCATCAAGTGCATGCGTGCATTATTGTCTGTTAAGATATGGGGAACCTCATAATGCTTTTGATTTGCAACTAAGACCTAGTCAAACCTCAAATGTTCATGAAATGCTCTCTAATCATTCTCTACATAGTCCAATCAGATTTCTTGACCCTGCAGGTTACAAGGATATGATCTCTTGTGTCTGATTCATCTGCTGATAATGAAACCATCAATAATAGTGTTTGAGTCACATACTTTGGGTCCAACTTTCTCTGTTTTGTCTTTTTCCTTTTCTTTGATAGTTCTTCTGTTCTTGGAAAAAATGAGAAGGTTGTGCCTTGTATTATTTTTACCAAATTTTAACAAGAGAAATACTCACAAACATGTTGTGTACAAATTAAAGTGAGAATTTATCACTTTAACTATAGTTAAATTGATAAATATATATGTATATATATATGAAATAAGCATATGAACTCTCATGTTCAAATCCGACAAAGGTGCAGAGTTATCTGGTACTTGTACAGGTGAAAGCAACAGTACTACTGTACTAGTAAAATAATCGAGGTACATGTAAGCTGGCACGAACACTACCGTCGTTAATAAAAGAAGAAGAAGAAGAAGAAGAAAAAGTAGCATAAAGGCATAAAACTCATTCAAGACTTATTTTTAATGGTTTGCCCGGCCAGTGGTAGCAGCAAGGAACTCACGTCAACATTCTTTAAAGAATGCAAAGGTCCAGCATTTCCACCATTTTTATATTGAAGAGCTACTAACACAATCGTACAAGAAGATGATGCTACATGTAGTGGGAAACATAATTTGCTAGATCATTAGCTGGATACATATACCTTTTTTTTTATTTTAAAAGTATTCTTTGTGGCTGATATAATGAATATAGGACATAACTGAGTAAAGGTTTAGCAATACTTGGAATAATCATGCTTCATGCAATTTTGACTTCAAGTAATCATATCATCCATCTTTGTTGCACTGGAATAAATGGGGCCATTGGAACCTATTTTCTCTTTTGGATTTCCCAGCAAAGATTTCATAAGCAAAAGATAGTGCTTTCTCCCCCTCACCCAGTCCTCTCCTTTTGTTTTTCCTCCATTTTTGCTTTCGCCTCAAAAGGCACAAGAATAAGAATGATATCTCCAAATAACACAACTATGCTTTTCAAATAGTATGACTCTTGTTTGACTCACTCATATTAAATTGGTTATATCTCTAATCAGAAAGCTTTTCAAAACCTTGTTGCAGATAATATCAATGGTAAAGAGTTAACATTCGAAGTCCCTGGCGTAAAAGATAAAACCAATAAACCACTAAAGAAAATGGAAACGCGAATCTCAATTCATCAACTAGGGGGAGTAGACTCTCATAAAATGCCATGAAAATTTTCAAACAACCACATGAGCTATTACATTGTACACGCGTTTAGTAAAAAGTAAATTGTATTATAATTAAAGCACACATCCACGGAACTAAAAAGCAACACGAACGGAATTCCTCTATGAAGATATGCCATATATAGACATAGGTGACTGATAACTCTTGATGTATGTGTTAACCAGTACAACAAACTGGTCCAGCTCTCAACTGAAAGCCGATTACCCTTTATATTTCAAACTCAAGTCAACATGGAAATGTTCAAGGCAAGACTCTATGCTTTTGTGTTCTCACTCACCCCTTTAATTTTGTCATGGTCTTCCATTTGGCTGAAGTTACCTCTCTCCTTGAAGAGTTGAGTGTGATGGTGCCTACAGTATAGCTTATGTTCATGAGCTACATAGTTTGATGGACTGATCACACATCCCCCATGGCTACATTTGAAACAAGCCCTGTGGTATGAAGTTCCATCCACTGCTACCTGTAAAAGCAGCAGAGACAATCCGTAAACATCTTTATCTTTAAATTTTTTTCGACTACGTTCAGGGATCAGGGAAGGAGAAGGGAGAAAGAGAACCGTGAAAATTGAACCTACACCTATTGTGTGAGATTCTCACCCCTAACACTAGATGGTAACACTTGGTAGCAAAAAAAAAGAGCACTTCAGTTGGGCAATTCAACAATGAGAACTTATTATCAGGTGATAAGATCATAAGACAATTGAATGCCAACTTAGAGGCACTCACACATGGCTTTCTGAGAGAGCTTTTTCGGATACGTATTAAATTAATTTGAAATGGCCTAATCTGTCTCTCTGTGTTTTTCTCCGATTAATTTACCATTTCAATAAAAGCAACTTTTAATACCTTTTCCAGGGGGTAGACAGTTTTCTTGCAAGCAACACATTTATCTTGAGTTCCGCCAAACAAACTCGAAACCTTGCTGTTTGATTGTCCCTGGGAGATTAAATGAGACAATTAATTATAATATCAGCTGGTAAAATGAAACGGACAATATTGTCATATACTTTAAGATGCTCGAGGAAGAGTCTTGAAAGTAGTGATCGTGGAGTATCTTTAAATGCGAAAATCATGGAATACCTGATCAGCGGATCGTTCCCTGACTATTTTTGGAGCCCCTAAAAAAATAAGAAACAACAAGTAAGAAGACAAGTTTTAGAAGGAGGAGTGATGGAAAACTGAAATAGAAGAAATATCAACTCGCCAACTATAACAACCTTCAAAACTCTTATCCAGGCTTCCTGTCATTTTGAATAGTTGATCGAAGTGAGGCCGACAGTACAATACTCCTTCGAAGGAGTTATAATTACTCAGCTGCAGAACATTAAAAATGACAAGAAAATAAGATCCAGACATTTAACCACATGAAAACAAGATGCTTCATTGATGCTAAAGATGCAAAGGAGAATATGGAGATTCTATATACTCTAAATACTAGATCTCTACCCTAGCAGTAGCAGTTTGTTCTGTACTGTTCATGTGTATGACTAATTCAAATAGCACTTCCGACATAGATTACCACGCCGACAGAGTTATAAGAAATAAAAAGTCTCATGGCCTCCCCAAATTAGAGTTGGGCAACCATTGCACTAGCATAAATACTGATAGGTGAAGTCAAGGTTCAAAATCAATAGAGTTAGTACGGTAACTTTTGAGAAGGGGAAGCAATTGCAAATACCCCGCTTAACTTCTCAGGTAAAGAGTGTAAAGCAAAGGTTTTACGCAGATGATGATTTTGATGGAATGTCTTCTCATGCTCTTATATACATATCAACATTCTTGCGTATTTGCACCCTATAAGAAGAAGAAGAAGATGACCAGAGCTCACATATTCTTCACCCATACCCATGCCTCAGGGGAAGCGGGATTCAGTGTTTGTTGTTCACTAAGTCAGAAATATGTTTTGACTCATATGCAACCAAAACCAGAGCTATCCATTGCCTGCTCATCTATAATTCATATCTGGCAAAGATTTCATACTCCAAAGAAATGGCAGCCCTTGTGCAGTAGAACAAGAATCATAAGATAAAAGATTTTGGTTTTCTTGTTTTCAAAACGTCGGCAGACGTGAATTCATGCTTCAACTAAATACAAGAATCTTTGCCAAAAAAAGTAAGGTTTAAAAGTGTAATTTCAGCCAAAAAAAGCTCAAAAATTAATATTAAAACCATGATTAAGTGTTATAACGTTTTTTCAGATCCATTAGAAGTGAATATTTTTGACCAAATTCTTTGACAGTACACAATGCTTTAGGAAAAAGAAACTAAGATAACACTCAAGGATCTAAGATATCAGGGTAAAAAGATAATAAGGAAAAGCAGAATGATCTGCCAGAGCATCCAAATATGACCTGAATAAATGATTCTTCAATAAAATCCTAAATGATCCAATGAAAGTGTTCTCTCTTTACCCCACTAGTGGGATTTTACTGGGTATGTTGTTGTTGTTGTTGTTGTTGAAAGTGTTCTCTCTTTGAAGAATACAATAACTCGAAAAACAGATATCCACTTCATAGTTGTAATTTCTTAGTATTAAGCATGTTTGAAAGGGGAATAATGTCAACTAATAAATCAGGAGTCCCAATTAGCATGCAGATGGGCGGAAATAGGAACACAAACAACTCAATAGTAGTTGGAATGACATTGACAGTGACACACTAAGAAGAAGAAAAACTTTCTTCCCCTTAATAGATCATATGAAACTTATACAAGGCGGTGAATCTCATTTCGATGTTTGTATGAATATTTAACCCAATAAATTTCACATATCACGGTCTAGTGTTGTCAAAATTTTATGATAGTGGGAGAGCAGAGATAATTATCTCCAATCCTTAGATTTCTAATCACTGTCAAGTTACATAATCTTTTGCCTTATTACTCTTCCCTTACAATTGCAGAGAGTTCCCTTGGTTATCATTTACACAAGGGGGGATAGTATCCAGTACTCAAACCTTTGAAAGGGGCAAGTCAAAACAATCTGAGAAACATAACCTAATGGAAAAGGCATCCATTAGTTCAATTCTCTATCTCATCATGATCTCCCAAATCAAACCACTCATTCAGTTCTAGCAAAGCACAGTTAGGGATTGAAGTTGCAGGTTGATGGTTGCAACTTGCACACTCCTCTCAAAAATTACATCAACAATAAAAACTACTCAACAACTACCATGTTACTCCTTTTAAACTCATGTCATGCCAAAAAAGAGTAACAAACCTAAATAACTCCTAATAACAACAACAACGACCCAGTAAAATCTTACAAGTGGGGTATGGAGAGGGTAGTGTGTACGTAGACCTTACCTCTATCCCAATGAGGCCGAGAGACTATTTCCGATAGACCAAGATGATGAAAAGAACCCTAAATAACTCCTCTGAATAAATTAATTAGAAAATAGAAGCATGCTCGAAATTGTTATATATCTAGAGTAGGAAATAGGTGTGGTTTAACATATAAATATGATGTGAAGCAAGTAGAAATTAAGTAAAAAGCATAATTAAGATGAATATGACCTTGAGAGTACCCTTGCAATGGTGGCATCTGAAACAAGCTTTATGATAGACCTTATTGTCAGCAGTAAGCTGATCCACCAAGTACACTGTTTTCTCACAAGCCTTACACTTCTGTGTTGTCCCTCCAAATGTTGCCATTCCTTTTCTCTGCAGATCAAAATCAGCCCTTTTCTCTCTCTATTTATTCACCAAAGTCTCTTCAGGTTTGAGTTTTTTCTTTTTACAGCTCTGGTCAGATCATTTAAATTACACTTTTATGTCCAAGCGAACTTTATAAAAAAAAATATTGAAATTCAAATAGTTGAATAAATATGATATTTAAAATTAAGGGGAAATGTTTAGTGGTAGCGGAGGCGATATGTGGATTAATGTAATCTGTCCATATTGAAAGTGTATGATTTCACTATTATAGAGGATTATTATCGATGACGAATAAATATAAATAATCGGTGAAATTTGTGATCCTAAGCAACTTAAAAGGGTTCAAATTATTTGTGTGATTATAAAAATTTTTCATTAAGAGGTATAATTATAAGTTTAAATTAAATTATTTAGAAAGAAATTATTTTTTTTAGAACAGACCAAAAAGAAAAATAAGTTCACATAAACTAAAAGAGAGGGAGTATTAGATAGTCTGTGCTTACTTATCTCTCTGACACAAAACAAGATTCGACGGGCACATACACGCGTCGGGTTCAAAACTTGAAGAGGATTTTCTCATTTCCGACAGAATGTACAGATTAGTTTTCCTCACTGTAAATGTACTTACTATTCTCTCCGGTCCAAAATAAGTGATTTTTTGAATGTTTTCATACAGATTAAGAAATCTATCTTTTAACATTAATTAATAATAGAATTAATCATATTAACCTTTATTATCTCACATAAACACTCCTAACACATATTCCAACATTATTTACTCCAGGGACAATATAGAAAAAAAATAATTAACTCATTCTTAAAATTCGAAAAAATTATTTATTATTTTAGACCGGAGGGAATACTTTACTACTCGGATTCGCAGTTGGAGGTCCCTACAGTTGTAAAAAGACTCTGTCCCACTCTCCACTGTTGTGTCAAAAGTCCATCTTTACCGTCTGCTCATTATTTTTTTTCTTTCCATGAAATTCTATATTTCTTTCGTCCGTTTCAATTTAGATGAAGTAATTTAACTCGATACAAAATTTTAGAATTTTTCTTTTTGAAACTTATGATCTTAAATGTTTAAGAAGTCGTTTGGTAGGATGCATTAGATAAAATAATGCATGCATTAGCTTTATGTATTAATAATACCTTGTTTGATAGACATTTTGAACCTATGCATTAGAAATGCAAGCATTAGTTATACATCCTATTTGGTATTATCCTATGCATATAGAAAACCATAAAATTAGCAATGCAATGGCTTTTAATGCATGCATTAACTTAGTTAAAGATAAAATTGTTCTTCAAAATTTATGCCTGATTAAAATATGCTAGTTATTATATTAATGCAAGTTTAAAATAATCCAAATAGTGAAAAATAAAATTATATCTCTAGTAAATAAATAAATGCTTAGCATATATATATATATTTTTTTTTATAAATAAATATTTAGTAGGTAGACAAATTAAATAATTATTTTTAAACTTTTTCATATAAAAACCTTTTCAACATATGTTTCTTTTAAAAAGTTAGACTGGTTTTGAGGACATTTTTGTAAACAAATAATTCTTTTAGAAATTGTGCAATGCTTTAATACATCAAACCAAACAATGGATAAGAAATATGTTAGCATAGCTAATACTAGCATAACTAATGCAGGCATAACTAATACCAGCATTACTAATACACCCTATTCAGCATTATTCTTATGCACCCTACCAAACGACCCCTAAGGGGTAAAAGCTTTATGGGGCAATGATATTTGTGTAATTATAAAAATTTCTCATTAAAGATTGTATAGGGTCAAATTTGATCGTCAGCGTCTCTACGCCAATGGGTACGCCCAGTGAGTATAGCCAACTAATGTAAGGGTACGACTCGGACGTGGGGACAAAAGCGACATCGTTTAGGACTCAGTGTCTTCACTAGGAAAACGTTGCCTGTTTTTGTAACTTTTTGATTATTTCAAGGAAGGTCTCTTATTATATAAAGGAGGCCTTCACATTGTAAAAGGAGGGGATTATTCTGGAACAATACAACTCTCTCATTTTCTCATACTCTCTCTCTCTCTATCGCTATCTCTAACGAATACTTTCTCTTGAGTTCATATTATCACTACTAGATCTACAACAACAACTTCATTTTTCATCTCTAGGTCTATTATATTTGATTATGATTTACCCTTTCTTACTTTTGATTGTTTTTAAGCTTGCAAAGTATATCGATAACTTTTGAGCCAAATAATTTGGCGCCGTCTGTGGGGATTTCGAGAATCAAAATCATAGTATCCACCTAGAGAGCAACCAACTACCATTCTCTACACCACACGAAAACAAAAGATGGCTGAAAATAACACCAGAATGAAAGCGATAGTGGGTGTTACAACCAATCTCCTTGATCCTCTCAACGAGGCCGGTGATGAGGCCATCTTGAATGCAACCCCTAGCACCACGCCAGGTGCAGAGATCTCATCTTCCCCATCCGAAGATCTGACGATCTTGCATGAAAAAGGAGCTTCCACATCTGCGGCTAAGGATGCACCCTCGGTGGTCAAGAAGCTACTGGAAGAATGGCTAACAAGCACTCTAAGTGGCTTGGTTGAGAAGTCACCGCAAAGTAACGACGGGTGTATACCAGCGGTAGGTACCACTATTGCCATGGGTGAACCTGAAGCTGCACGAGCAAATAACAAACCCATCGAGGCACAGACCAACGATGGCAGGCTAACAGCCATCCTAAAGAAGATGGAAGAAATGGAGAATGAAAACAGGGCCTCCGCGACCAAATGAAAGAACATCAGGAGAGGGTAGACAAGATCCCCGGCGCTCCCAAGTTGCTACCAAAACGCGACGTGGGGAGGTTCGTTGAACAACCATACACTGAAGAAGCTGCCCCTCACCCTATCCCAAAAACCTTCAAGATGCCACCCTACTTGAAAGTATATGATGGAACCACAGATCCCGAGGATCATTTAATCCACTATGTCACTGCTGTAAAGGGCAACGACCTATCAAAAGAACAGGTACCATCGGTGCTGCTGAAGAAGTTTGGTGAGACGTTGACAGGAGGGGCCCTAACGTGGTACTCTCAGCTACCAGCTAAGGCGATATCAACATTCGAGGAAATGGCGGATAAGTTCGTCACCGCCCATGCAGGTGCAAATAAAGCGGAAGCAAGGGTCAACGACATATTCACCGTCAGACAAACCGCAGGGGAGGGACTCAGGGACTTCCTAGCCAGGTTTAATAGGGTAAGGATGAGTCTACCAAACGTATCGGAAGGTATGGCAGTCGCCGCTTTCCAGAACGGGCTAAACAGGGATGGTTCGAGGGCAACCAAGAAGCTACTAAGCTGCCTCATGAAACATCCCCCTACCACATGGGAGGAAATCCACAACGCATATTGCGCTGAGGTACGAGCAGACGAGGATGATCTTAATGGGCCAACCCAACGGCTAACAACGATACACTCAAAAACAAGGAGGGATCGATGCAATGAAGGACGGCGAGAACAACTCCCACGCTCCAACAAAGACCGACACCAGCCATACACCAGATCCTCCCATCCACCACCAAGGCATACGGACGCGCTACAGCGACACGTCGCCCCACTCCGAAACGAAAGAGGTACGCCTCCTTTATTATCCGCCCATAACTTTTGTGTGTCTCCTTCAGAAATAGTGTACGCACTGGAGAAGCTGGGCACCAAAGTGCAGTGGCCGCAGAAGATGAAATCAGACCCTGCCACAAGGAAATCAAACGTCCTATGTGAGTTCCATCAGGAACGGGGACACAAAACCGAAGACTGCATAGGCCTACGGCAAGAGGTGGTCAGGATGCTGAACCAGGGATACCTGAGGGAATTACTCAGTGACAAAGGGAAAATCAACTTGGGACGCGGACGGGAACAACCCCACGGGCCGCCGAAGCCGCCCTCCCCAGCACGCACGATAAACATGATCGTCGGAGGCGGCGACGACTTAGCGATCAATCACGTCAAGTTCGCCACCACGCACAAACTAAAGCGGACCATCGCCCATGAACGGTATGACGACTTCGAAGATAGTATCACCTTCGATAAGTCTGATGCCGACGGTTTGTCTTTCCCTCATTACGATGCTTTAGTTATCACTTTACGTATCGCTGATACAGATGTTAAAAGAATCATGATTGACGACGGAAGCGGCGCCTGTATTATCCACCCGAGGGTCCTCGTACAAATGGGACTCGAGGATAAGGTAATACTGCGTTGCATAACACTAACTGGTTTTAACAATGCAGTGGAACGGACATCCGGAGAAATATCACTGCCCGTTTTAGTAGGAGGAGTCACGCTGGAAACAACTTTCCACGTGATGAACTAGGAAACGGCGTACAACGTCATCATAGGGCGCCCGTGGATACACGCCATGCGAGCGGTCCCTTCAAGCNGACTACGTTTTACCATGATGATTCAGTTTGGGAAATAATGCACTAACGACGAGAAATATGACTTCAAAAGAAGTGGAGGAATCCCACACGAAATAACGGTTACAGGAAAGAAAGACAAAGGAGTAAATCAGAAAATGCTTTCCGAAGGTTTGAAAGTTGAATCGAATCGAACCTCTCTCCTATTTATAGGGATAAGTTGCGCAGAAATCGAAGAGTCATGATTCAAAACGTGCGCGGGAAACCAAAATGTCACATCATCCTCTGAACCGCCTCGGGGGCAAATATAATAATGACGCATACAGGCGATGACGTCATTCCAAAAAGAAAGCCACGCGTCAGTGGCTCAACAACGTCATACATTTTACCTCATTTATGTTGCCGCCCCTGGTCAAGGTCAAATTCTCCTAAGCCGAGGTTTGCATTTCCGCCCATTGAAGATGCCCACCGAATGCGTCTCCAACGAGCGGAGGGACTAACTGTATAGGGTCAAATTTGACCGTCAGCGTCTCTACGCCAATGGGTACGCCCAGTGAGTATACGCCAACTAACGTAAGGGTACGACTCGGACGTGGGGACAAAAGCGACATCATTTAGGACTCAGTGTCTTCACTAGGAAAACGTTGCCTGTTTTTGTAACTTTTTGATTATTTCGAGGAAGGTCTCTTATTATATAAGAGAGACCTTCACATTGTAAAAGGAGGGGATTATTCTGGAAAAATACAACTCTCTCATTTTCTCATACTCTCTCTCTATCGCTATCTCTAACGAATACTTTCTCTTGAGTTCATATTATCACTATTAGATCTACAACAACAACTTCATTTTTCATCTCT